AAATAAAAAAAATTTGAACTTGAACCAATGTGAAATTTAATCGTTTCGAGGCCAAAATAGACCCGGGAAAAAAAGGGTCGTGTGGCACGTTGTGGGCCAAGTATTTTAAGGGTATAAATAAGGGAAAAAATCTGATTTCTCTCCCATTGGTTTTTAGTCGTTACCCGATAGAGAGAGAGAGAGAGAAGAAAAGGGAGAAACTCTACCTTTTCTCTACGATCTACGGATCTTGGGTGCTCAAATTCACTCAGGCCAAGAAGAAAAAGTTATTCCTCTTGTTGAGGGTTATGCCTACGTACCAAAAACGAAGGCTTTCACCAAAGTTCAGAAAAACGAGATTTTGGGGGAGCTTGGATTAGAGCTCGGGCTAAGTTCTTGGAGCTTTCCAACGTGATTTTATGCTCCAAGAGGTAGGGTTCCTTCCTACTAGGGTTTATTTTACAACCTAGTGCGTTAAATTGAAATGGATAGGTTGATAGAGATATATATCACTTGCCTATGTTTGTGGAATTGATAAAAGGGGTATGAAAATGGTTATAGAAATGGTTTAAAATAAATTCCTAGCATGGAATTGGTATGTGGCACTTACTTGTGTAATTCCATAGAAATTGGTATTATGTGGGCATGCTATGTGTTTATATTATGCCTTTGTGAATAAAGTGTGTTATTGACATATATTATGTAATAACATACTTGTGATGTATTGTTGGATATGAAAATGTTGATGTATGCTTATAGATATATCGACATTGTGATGAAATTAGAAATTTTATGCTTTGGATATGAATTGCCATGGAATGTGTATAAATGTGGTAAACTTTGCTCATATGACATTTATTACATATGGGGCATAACATCGATATAGCAATGGTGCTTTATATTCCATTTGCATGGAGGCATCGCATCTATGGGCATAAGACATGGGTGTGGGTATGGTGTGTGCACGGTTTGATCAATCACCATACTTGGTGGTTGATGGGTGTGCTCGAAAAAGTTGGATTGAAAATCTAACTGAGGCGTACGGTTGCATGAAAATTGGGTCGGAGTTAGTAAGAAGGGCTAGACAATCCCTCGGGTGAGAGGGCCGGTGATCGGATACGCACTCCGTTGGTATAAAAGCCCATAAAGTGTATCGGTATATGCATAACCGTTGGTGAAAGTTCATAAATTCCGTGTCGGTTAGGTGCCGTTGGTGTAAGTCCATAAATACCCACCCCAAGAAAGACCCAAAGATTTCTTTAAAATAGTCATTGGGTGTGTAACGCCAATGGCAGGGGCTTGGAAAGCCCGATTTTATACTCATGGCATTACATGGGGGAAAAAGAACGGGTGAGGGCTTGGGTTAAAGGGCATGANGTGTTATTGACATATATTATGTAATAACATACTTGTGATGTATTGTTGGATATGAAAATGTTGATGTATGCTTATAGATATATCGACATTGTGATGGAATTAGAAATTTTATGCTTTGGATATGAATTGCCATGGAATGTGTATAAATGTGGTAAACTTTGCTCATATGACATTTATTACATATGGGGCATAACATCGATATAGCAATGGTGCTTTATATTCCATTTGCATGGAGGCATCGCATCTATGGGCATAAGACATGGGTGTGGGTATGGTGTGTGCACGGTTTGATCAATCACCATACTTGGTGGTTGATGGGTGTGCTCGAAAAAGTTGGATTGAAAATCTAACTGAGGCGTACGGTTGCATGAAAATTGGGTCGGAGTTAGTAAGAAGGGCTAGACAATCCCTCGGGTGAGAGGGCCGGTGATCGGATACGCACTCCGTTGGTATAAAAGCCCATAAAGTGTATCGGTATATGCATAACCGTTGGTGAAAGTTCATAAATTCCGTGTCGGTTAGGTGCCGTTGGTGTAAGTCCATAAATACCCACCCCAAGAAAGACCCAAAGATTTCTTTAAAATAGTCATTGGGTGTGTAACGCCAATGGCAGGGGCTTGGAAAGCCCGATTTTATACTCATGGCATTACATGGGGGAAAAAGAACCGGTGAGGGCTTGGGTTAAAGGGCATGAGCGAGTCTCACCTTATATCATGGCATGACATGTTAGATTCCAACTTAGAATTGCTAAATCTTGGTTGTAATGGTTGTTGCTTGTGTTATGTGTTGTATGTGAGCATTTCATATGCATCTAGGTTGGGGAATAACGTCTGTAGGAAATACTCTACTGAGCGTGGCTCACCCTTTATGAGAAAAAAATTTCAAGTGCGGATGGTACGTTGGCCGAAGGCTCTCACTTGGGGCCTCAAGTATGAAGAAAGTAGGAATGTGGCTCTATTTTGAGTTTTTGTACAAGTATTACGAAAACTTAGTTTTGATATGTAAATTTATAGAAATGAATGTAATAGAATGTGTATGGACCTTGTATTAAATGAAAATTTTCATTATACATATGTTGGATGGATGTAATATGGTTTGAAATTAATTGAAAATAAAAAACAAATAAAACAGGCAAAACTAAACAAAGCATACCGGTACAACTTTGTCTAGTAGACAAACCCTACCGATAGGCATTTTCCAGTAAGCTTACCTTACCGGTAGGCCTTTCAAAAATTTAAAATTTTAAAACTGTTTTGCCATGCTTTTGGGCCATGTGTCCTTCCTTCCAAATGAAGTAAATGAACCATAATAGAGTATGAAATGTGGTACGTCAGACCACGATTTGATTAAATGATAAAATGTACACGGATTATGTGTGTAGGTGATGATCCCGATNGTATTACGAAAACTTAGTTTTGATATGTAAATTTATAGAAATGAATGTAATAGAATGTGTATGGACCTTGTATTAAATGAAAATTTTCATTATACATATGTTGGATGGATGTAATATGGTTTGAAATTAATTGAAAATAAAAAACAAATAAAACAGGCAAAACTAAACAAAGCATACCGGTACAACTTTGTCTAGTAGACAAACCCTACCGATAGGCATTTTCCAGTAAGCTTACCTTACCGGTAGGCCTTTCAAAAATTTAAAATTTTAAAACTGTTTTGCCATGCTTTTGGGCCATGTGTCCTTCCTTCCAAATGAAGTAAATGAACCATAATAGAGTATGAAATGTGGTACATCAGACCACGATTTGATTAAATGATAAAATGTACACGGATTACGTGTGTAGGTGATGATCCCGGTNCGTTTAATGTTAAGTTTAGTATTTGTTTCGTCTCCAGGTTTAACTTGTTATTTTTCATTTTCACTATTCTCTTTACAGAGTAGTCCCTTGTGCTTTTATTTGAGAAATTTTTTAAAGTTCTTGAATCATAAGGCATAAAAAAGAATTTGGGCATAGTTTTAGGTCTTGTTATAATTGTTTAAACAGTTATGATTTTAAAACCTCGTATCAGTTTAAATAGGTGAAATCGTACATATATAAATTTTAAGCCTGTTCAAACTGTGGGGCGCCCTCGATCTGTGTGCTTAATTTGATTTGGAACCGTTGGAGGTAGATAGGGTTGGTGTGGTGAGGTGAGGTGAGGTGGGAGTGGGTAGGTGAGAATCTTCACCCACTATTGCCACACACAGTCATTTCTCCTAATTTTTTTTAATCCTGCATATCTCCTAATTGGTTACCATTTTTCTTCTCTTTCCTTCCTTCGAAGAGTCCATTGAGAGAGAGAGAGAGAGAGACAGAGTCAAAAGCAGTACCTAGATTCCTTTTTTTGGTCCTAAACTGCAAGCATTCTATAAGCAATTTCCATTTACTCTCCTTACNAAGAAAAACAATTAGCAAATAACTTTTCTCTAGAAGGGTCCGTGGCAAATAGACGGTCGTAATAAAAAAGATGTGCTATCAATGGGCCGGATAAAGAGCTCTAGGAAATAAGCACAAAGCCATAGCTAAAGCACCCAAAGGAGACCCGAACCTTTTTGCATCTTCGATGCCATTGTCTCCCACATCCAACTTTAGAGGTGGACAAGCATGACAGGGGCAAGAGCACAGGAAGCTCCCGCAGCCAAGTAAACGGGCAACAGAATATACTCCTTGGTCATTTTGTAGAGGCTATCATAAGCTACCAGTTGAAAACGATTCAACGCACATCCACACATCTCGAGGGACAAAACCATGATCATAATAATGGCTAGAAAAGAAGGGTCAACGGTTGAAGGTCATCTCTATAAATAATAGAGACTAGGCCACTGAAAAGGGATCCACGATCAAACACACAAACTCTTCACAAAGTCATCCTACCTTATACTTATTTCTTGTTCTCAAGCAATTTTATTTTTTTTCATAATCATCACTTTTGTGATCTTTTCCTTCTTTCGTTTAATGTTAAGTTTAGTATTTGTTTCGTCTCCAGGTTTAACTTGTTATTTTTCATTTTCACTATTCTCTTTACAGAGTAGTCCCTTGTGCTTTTATTTGAGAAATTTTTTAAAGTTCTTGAATCATAAGGCATAAAAAAGAATTTGGGCATAGTTTTAGGTCTTGTTATAATTATTTAAACAGTTATGATTTTAAAACCTCGTATTAGTTTAAATAGGTGAAATCGTACATATATAAATTTTAAGCCTGTTCAAACTGTGGGGCGCCCTCGATCTGTGTACTTAATTTGATTTGGAACCGTTGGAGGTAGATAGGGTTGGTGTGGTGAGGTGAGGTGAGGTGAGGTGGGAGTGGGTAGGTGAGAATCTTCACCCACTATTGCCACACACAGTCATTTCTCCTAATTTTTTTTAATCTTGCATATCTCCTAATTGGTTACCATTTTTCTTCTCTTTCCTTCCTTCGAAGAGTCCATTGAGAGAGAGAGAGAGAGAGACGGAGTCAAAAGCAGTACCTAGATTCCTTTTTTTGGTCCTAAACTGCAAGCATTCTATAAGCAATTTCCATTTACTCTCCTTACTCCAAACCCAATTCTTCCAGCCAAGATTCAATTCTATAAAGCATAACAATAAATACATTAGCTGTTGTCAATTAGAACTCTTCAGTTTGTCCTTCAGGATCGTTATTTTGGCAATGGATTTTTTGGAAACACCTGAAATACAGATTCTGGGTGTTGCTGTTGCTCTGGTTGCCGTTGCAGCTGCTGTATACTTCTTTTCCTCCAAGAAACCTAAAGGTCCAAGTCTGACCACCCATAATTATCTACACCCGCACCCGCACGCGCACTGGCCCGCGCACACACACACACACACACACCCTTTTATATACGTAAAGCGCGCACTTCCATTCAGTGATTACTGTTGCTATGTTTGATTCCTTCTGTCTGTTGATTTCTATGGTCTATTCGAGATTTTTGGCACTTACCTCATCTGGGTTGCATTTATCATCTGCAATTGGAAATGGAGACCTCTCTAAATCTTTTTCCTTACTAATTTTTTTTGGCGTAGTAAATGTATCTTTGCATTTTTGTGAATTATCATTTAGACCAGGTTTTGGATCTGAACTATCTGTAACTGAGTCACAGAAGTGATGTGTGCTTAATAGGCTGCTTAGATCCTGATAATTTCAAGGATTTCAAACTCGTGAAGCGCACCCTACTCAGCCACAATGTTGCAAAGTTCAGATTTGAACTTCCTACACCTACATCAATGTTGGGTCTCCCTATTGGACAGCACATAAGTTGCAGGTTCAGTGGACTGGCTTCATCTATCCAAAGTTTTGGATTGTATAACAGATATATTATTGATTGTGCTTGTTGTAAATGCTTAATCATCTGAAAAATGGGTGTTGTTGACATGTGCCGTTGTAATTTTATGCAACATTGAGCAGGGGTAAGGATGTTCAAGGTGAAGATGTTATAAAACCATACACTCCAACTACTCTGGACTCTGATCGTGGATATTTTGAGTTAGTTATTAAGGTAGATATCTGAAATATTCTGTTTACTGACTTGGGTTTTATTGGTTAGATTATCTTCTTGTTCAAGTGTTATTGAACTTTTGTCTGAGTTGCATGGGACTGTGGTATGGATTTTTTTGCATAAATAGATGTATCCGCAAGGTAGAATGTCCCACCATTTCCGGGAGATGCGTGTTGGTGACTACATGGCTGTGAAAGGACCAAAGGTAGATGCTTTCTTCTATATGTTATCCTCATGATCTATGTTTGCCATTGCTTCTAGATTTGTCTTTCCTTCTAAACTTGTCATGTCCTCTTTGATGGAATTCGGTCTTGTATCTATTGCACATATCACACATATTATGAGAAGCACNTTATCCTCATGATCTATGTTTGCCATTGCTTCTAGATTTGTCTTTCCTTCTAAACTAGTTATGTCATGTCCTCTTTGATGGAATTCGGTCTTGTATCTATTGCACATATCACACATATTATGAGAAGCACTTGGGTTGATGTTTTAGGAGGTAGAAGAAAGTATGTAGGAAATGTTGATGGAATTAGGTTAGAGTTTATTTAGTTTTAGGAGTGGGTGGTGAGAATTCAGCAAAACTGTGCTGGGGTTTTGTAGACAGCAATTAATTTAAGGATTTGAATGTTAGATTAATTACTGAAGGATATGGAATGATTTGTGGTTGATAAGGGCTTGTTGGGGTGGGATTTGGGCCAAGAAGGAGGTTTCTCCTCGGGACGGTGGATGGTAGCAAAAATAAAAAAAAAATAAGACAAAAAATAAAGAGGAGAAATAGAAAGAAAATGATTTTTTGGTACAAAAAATGGATATGCAGGTCACTCCACATATCTGCCAGCTTGGGAGCATTGCCCTTCAAAAAGAAGAATGTACTTATTTCATTAGAAAGAAGTATGTTATTCACTCATCACCTTTGCAGGGGATAGTTTACATTGCCCAACCAGAATCTCAACATCTTACTACTCTACTAGTCTATTAATCCAGTTCATGCATCATGACAATCTGGATTCTATTATAAGTTTCGTATTTTTATTGGTTTTTGGAAGTCATTATTGTATCATGATAAAACTATGAAAAAGGTCAAAACAATTTATGTGCTATTTGGAAGGTCCAATAGTCACATTACAAATTATTCCACAATTCTGGACACAAAATGCGGACTGTAACTCTTATAGTTATATTATTATGAGTAGCTATAAGAATCAAATCCTCATCTTTATCACTCCTTCTCAAAGATTTATGATCAGGAAGCCTAATACCTCTTGCATCTTCATTATTTTCGGCCAAATAAACTTTTGACTTATGGAAAAAAAATACTAAAGTAATCTCTCTGCAAGTGGACCGTGCGAGAAAATATTGACTTTGTTTCCATCGAACCAGTGTAAGTACTTGATGACAACACCAGGGCATCTTCCAGTGAGCAACTTAGCCAAGCAGTGCTTGATAATATAGATTTTGTTCTGTATCAAGACTAAAAGTACAAATTGTTATTATTTGATTACAGCTTAAGAAACACAGACACGGTTACGAGACATGGACACAACACGATATAGACATGCAGACACGACATTTCTTAAAAAAGTAGGACATGGACACATTAGGGATACGCTACAAAAAGTTATATTTTATATAATAATATATAATTTATCGCAAAGATAGTGATAATGATATGCAATTCATAAAAAATTCAGTATTTTATGATAAGTAAATCTTATGTGTAGTCATCTTTGTAAATTTTTAGACTAAATCATCATCATAATAGTCAATAATCATCAATTTTTTTTGTAGACAATGTGTACCTAATATATAATTTAAATAATTACTTTCATTTTCTCAAATTCTTTTTTTTTAAATTTTTGTGTACCTTTTTTTTTATTATTATATTTGGAGGACAATTTTAATATGTATAGTATTATAGTAATTATTTGTTTTCAAAATTTTGATCTTTGTTAATCACATTTCAACACATGTTTATTGTTTAGTAGTAAACAAGTTCTAAAGAAGTTTTGAACACGTCACTAAAGAAGTGTTGGACACATGTCTGAAATTAAAATTTTTTTATTTAATTATGGACACAGATAAAAGAGTATCGAACACGTGTCCGAGAGTATTGGTGTCTGACACGGATACGTCACCTTCTTGAGAGGGTCTGTGCTTCATAGATTGCAGCAGTTATGGAATGTCTGTCTTCAACTACAATCAAAGTTTTACAGCCAAACCTACTCGTCCAAGAGTTTCTGTATTATCAAGATGCTGAAACTTTGCGTTCTCCCTGGTTTTGACACTTTTTACCATGTTTTAAAGTTGATAAAGTAGATGTGATTTCTAGCGTATACTTGGGAATTACGAAATTATGATGATGCATCTTCAATTTTACACTAAACGATATTTGTGAACTTAAGATACTAAAAGATCTGAATATGCAATTTGTCTTGAAAAGTTATAATATTCATAAAGAATCATTTAACATGAACCTTTTATAGAGAATCTGCTCCTTGGAGGATAGTTTTAATGCTGGTTGAATGTTAGAACCATGAATATAACACTTGAAACCATGGTTCAAAGTATCGGCCAAGTCTGAGTCAACTCGGCTGAGTCGTATCCGTCTCAGCAGGTGCTAATCCGATAACGATACACGTTACACCAATATAACGAGATTCGATTGAATCGGTCCTGACTTGGTTACAACTTGGTGGTATTGGCCCAACTCGGAGTTAAATCGGTTGGACTCAGCCGAGTCAAACTGAGTCAGATTGCTATGGTGCAACCAAATCTGAGCAGCAAAAACCCTAAAAATAAGAGAAAGGAAGAAGAAAATGGACGAGACTCGCTTGCATATTTATGGGTTAGGTTGAATTCGTAACAAAATAAGCAAATGAAGAGGGGATTGATAAGAAATAAAACAAAAAATCAAATGTCCATCAGCTTTTCAAAATTGAAACCCTAAATCAGTGACAAAAAAAAAACCCTCCAGCCCAAATCACACCTTTTTGAAATTATAAGAACAAAAGAAGAAGAACAAAAAATATATGTAATAAAAACCTACAAATCTTCATCTTCTTCTTCTACTTCTTGTCGTGCTTTAGGAGCAGGGCTGGAGTGCCCAACATCATCTCTTCTTCTCCAGTAGAACGGCGATTTTCTCTGCCATCACGATCGGCTCGCACTATACAACAGTTGCCCCCTTTGTCTCTTTGCGTTCGACGAAATAAGTGTTGGACTGTTGGGTACCCAATAGTCAATACAAATAGCATTAGTGTTATATATATATATATATAATTAGATTGCATGATTATTATATATGTAAATATATAACACTAATGCTATTTCTTTAAATTCTTATGCATAATTTTTTTTTTATATACACACATAAATCAAATTGATTTTTTTTGGTATTTTTCATGTGTTGTTTAATTATAAAATGTGGCGATGATTATAGATCGGTATTTTTTAAAATGTTTAAATTGAATATTATAAAGATAAATATTTTTGGTAGCGCCCTTATAATTCATTTTTACTATGTTTAATGTCTTAAATTATGTATTTTGACATATGATCTATGGATGATGTTGTTTACATTTTAAAATATTTTTCATAATTTTTTTAGAATTTTTTGAGCTTTCTATCTAGTATTTTGAACGTATCAGCCGATACCGTACCAAGACGCCGCGACCGATGTGTATTAATGCCCTCCGAGTCGATGACTGATACCGCAACTTTGAACCATGTTTGAATCTTGATTTCACAGTATTTCAGTTAGTAATGCAGGGCAACTTGATTCTAAGGTGTACAAGTTCTTCTTTTCGTGATTATATCTTGTTTCTGAAAAAGCAAACACCCTACCGCATATAGTATTACATATACATATGTGTGTGGCATGACAATAGTTGGTGGCTTATGCCACCAATAGAAAACTGGTGCCGAAGTCAATTTCTATTTGGCTTTGTCGAATGCTTTCCAAATTAATTGTTTTAACTTTTAATCTAGCTGCTCTTAAATCCTTGTGAAATATGTTGCATGAGAATGCTTAATCGATACTAATTTTTTCCTTCTGTGCTATTATCTGATCATTTTGTTGTACCAGGGCCGTTTCAAGTACCAGCCTGGACAAGTGAGAGCATTTGGAATGCTTGCTGGAGGGTCTGGTATAACTCCTATGTTCCAGGTATGTATGTGAGATTGGTCAGATGTGTTTGAAATAATTCTGGAGATCTCTGCTTCTGTGATTTTATAGTCTTTAATAATGTTACACATCGCATTTTTTATTTTCTGTTGTTACAGGTTGCTAGAGCTATATTAGAAAACCCACAAGACAGGACGAAACTGCATCTCATCTATGCCAATGTCACGTATGAGGACATTCTTTTAAAGGTGATTCATGCTATCAACTTTCTTAATTTGTGCCATTTAAACATCTGCACATGAGAGGTTCTCACTTTATACGGAAAACCAAATTGTTAAACTCAAAGCAGGCAGATTTCATTTTAAGGGGCCAAAGAAATTACTCTGATTGAGGACTGATGCCACTTGTGACCATCCTAGATGTGAATATCAGTATATAACTATCATTTGATTTGTTAGAATTCTTATTTTATATTATTAGTAGTGTAGGGTACTATTGTAAGTACCCATAATATCAGTCTGTTATAAGTAAGAGGGTCTAGGGGCTAGTGAACATAGCCTATACAGCTGATTGTTCTTTTTTCCTTGTCTCTTCTATCTTTCTTTCTCGCTCTCGCTCTCGCTGACCCTAATATTGCTTTTACGGTCTCAACTTGGTTCTTAGATTTTCAGCCACAATGTTTTTGCTGCATTAAATCTGTGATTTCAGGTAGCTAATGGTTGCCTTTGTGACGTGGCCTCCATCGTGAATTCAGGTCCAGGCGAAGTTCTAAAACCTGGGGTGCTTGCGTTACCTCTTCAACTTGTGTACCTGTTGCAGGAAAATATGAGATTTAAAATGCAACAAGAAAATGGGAAATTTAATTGGTCAACATTAGAGAGCGTACTTGTTCCGGGACGGGGAGATATGTGTGGATTTTCCTGCAGGATTATACACGTGGATTCAAGGTTTTTAAAATTGTGATCCTACCTTGGATCGGTGGGGTGACTGTAGGATCGGAATTGTAGGATTGAATTGAGAGTCGTAAGATCTACTTATTAGAGAAAAAAGAGTATAGTAAAATGCAGACTCCCGTTTTTAATTGATCACCGTGAAGAAAAAAAAATAGCACAAAAAAAAAAAGTCATTGACTGTCTGTTCGTTNCCAATATAACGAGATTCGATTGAATCGGTCCTGACTTGGTTACAACTTGGTGGTATCGGCCCAACTCGGAGCTAAATCGGTTGGACTCAGCCGAGTCAAACTGAGTCAGATTGCTATGGTGCAACCAAATCTGAAANTTGATCCTCAGCTAAAAAGTATACCACAGTGGAACAATAGATGAATAGAATAGCTAAAGAGTATACCATAAGTGATANTTGATCCTCAGCTAAAAAGTATACCACAGTGGAACAATAGATGAATAGAATAGCTAGAGTATACCATAAGTGAGAATAGATAAGACATACTTTTTAGAATGAGAAATCTCTAAGAGAGAGACGAAGTGGAGGAGTACGAGTTGCTGCCGCTGGGCCTAGAAGGACGTCTACGTCCATGAGAGAGACGAAGTGGAACAGTCGAATAGACTTCTACGTCGTCGTCTACAAAGAGGAACATGAAGACACACGCCCTAAATATTTTATTCTTATATGGGGTGTAGGCTTATGAGCCATATAGTGGGCTGCCAACAGAAAAATTGAAAAAAGCCCAAGATGTCCAAGTCAGCCCCCTATCATTTTAGGCTGAAAATAGAATCGCAAAAAATCATTTTGGATCAAGATCCTATGATTCTAACCGATCCAACTCTCGATCCCACTCGATCCTACTAATTTACGATTTTTAATATGATCCGAATCGATTTATCAATTTTGGATCGTAGGATCGTACTGGTAGGATCGCGATTTTAATAACCTTGCGTGGATTGCACGGTACTACCTGGAGGGGGTGAATAGATTTTTAAACTTTATGCTTGGGCAAACACCAAATTAAACCCGTTACTACCACAATTGCCTCATCTTACAACGATTAATCGATTATTAGTGAGAACATGGTTCAAAGTCTCTTTATCAACCATCGACTCGGAGGGCATTGATACACATTGTTCGAGGTGTGGTATCGGCCGATATGCTCAAAACGTTAGATGGAAGCTCTAAAAAAATTTGAAAAAATTATAAAAAAATTCTAAAGATATAAACATCATCATTCATGCATCATATGTCCACAATACATCCAAAAACACATTAAATATAATTAAAATAAAACATAAAGACGTTACCAAAAATAATTATCATTATCAAAGTTCAGCATAGGCATTTATGAACATACGGAACCATAATCATTGCCATACTGAATGACAATGAGGTTCAAAATCATTGTTATTGTCTGTAGGATAATATAAATTAGGATAATGTTTATCATGAAGATAAGAATACAAGTGTGAAAACGGGTCTGATTGGGTTGGTTGAGTTGACTAGCTGGCCCATAATCAAAGTAGTATAACTGTGGAGGTTGTATTGGCTGGTTCCCATGTTGATAGTACCCAAAACCACGATATTCACGGCTACTACTAATAGAAGACTGATCATATCCATAAAAGTTGACATTATCCGATATCGTGTTAGAAGATCCATCATGATGTATCCTTGTAACACGATCATAGTAGCTAGGAGTACTAGTACTAGTTGATCTCTCAAGATACGTAGGGCGATGACCATAATGCCCAACACTATTAGTATTAGTAGACATCTCAAGCTGCGAAGAGATACTATATCCATATGATCCATGTGCATAACTAAATTCTATACCACTACTTGGATGATGTCCATAAGGCATGTATCCTTCATATAATGTCAATTCCTAACTCTGCATATGATCATTAATACCCTGTCAACCAAGTGAATGATGGTGGTGTCTATTGGAATAATCATCACTATTGGAAGAGTTTAAGGTCTTGTTTGGTTTGAATCTTAAAAAATAGTATCTGAAAATAATTTTTGGGAAGAATTTTAAGAAAGTATTTTTGAAAATTTTAGATTAGAAAACTTGTTTGGTTATATATTTTTGAAAATAGTTTTAAAGAACAAAAAATTGTAAAATCTGTTTGGACAATAATCTACAAAACTCACAATTTCCACCTCTATCTTTCTTTTCCCTTTCTCTGTCTTCACAAAACACACACAGAGGCACACACAAAGAGACACACAAAGAGACACCCAAGCGCGCACACACAGACGCGTACACAAATTTGTGCTTTAAATATGTGTAGATTTGAGACTTCAATTGTTGTAAGAGAGAGAGACGCANATGTCCATAAGGCATGTATCCTTCATATAATGTCAATTCCTAACTCTGCATATGATCATTAATACCCTGTCAACCAAGTGAATGATGATGGTGTCTATTGGAATAATCATCACTATTGGAAGAGTTTAAGGTCTTGTTTGGTTTGAATCTTAAAAAATAGTATCTGAAAATAATTTTTGGGAAGAATTTTAAGAAAGTATTTTTGAAAATTTTAGATTAGAAAACTTGTTTGGTTATATATTTTTGAAAATAGTTTTAAAGAACAAAAAATTGTAAAATCTGTTTGGACAATAATCTACAAAACTCACAATTTCCACCTCTATCTTTCTTTTCCCTTTCTCGGTCTTCACAAAACACACACAGAGGCACACACAAAGAGACACACTGGCAGAGACACCCAAGCGCGCACACATAGACGCGTACACAAATTTGTGCTTTAAATATGTGTAGATTTGAGCACACTGACAAAGAACAGAGAAGACGTCGGAGATCTTTGTGTGTGTCTTGAACCCAGATGTAGAAAAACCAAGACGTTGGAGANTGAGAATGCTTAATCGATACTAATTTTTTCCTTCTGTGCTATTATCTGATCATTTTGTTGTACCAGGGCCGTTTCAAGTACCAGCCTGGACAAGTGAGAGCATTTGGAATGCTTGCTGGAGGGTCTGGTATAACTCCTATGTTCCAGGTATGTATGTGAGATTGGTCAGATGTATTTGAAATAATTCTGGAGATCTCTGCTTCTGTGATTTTATAGTCTTTAATAATGTTACACATCGCATTTTTTATTTTCTGTTGTTACAGGTTGCTAGAGCTATATTAGAAAACCCACAAGACAGGACGAAACTGCATCTCATCTATGCCAATGTCACGTATGAGGACATTCTTTTAAAGGTGATTCATGCTATCAACTTTCTTAATTTGTGCCATTTAAACATCTGCACATGAGAGGTTCTCACTTTATACGGAAAACCAAATTGTTAAACTCAAAGCAGGCAGATTTCATTTTAAGGGGCCAAAGAAATTACTCTGATTGAGGACTGATGCCACTTGTGACCATCCTAGATGTGAATATCAGTATATAACTATCATTTGATTTGTTAGAGTTCTTATTTTATATTATTAGTAGTGTAGGGTACTATTGTAAGTACCCATAATATCAGTATGTTATAAGTAAGAGGGTCTAGGGGCTAGTGNGGATTTGCCCAAGTGGAGAGAGAAACTCTGACGACAGAGCAGCGATCTTCGTTGTTGTGGTCTTCATTGCATTGCACTCGTTGCACAGAGAGAGAGAGAGGAGATGGAGAAGGGCTTTTATACTTCAACGAAAAAAGAATGCATTTTGCTGCTAAGGAAGTTTGATGGATGGACCTCATTAAAGAGGAGTGAACAGTATTTTGTGTTTCGTGTTTTCAAAATTTTCAGCCAAAAACTCTTAAAACCACACTGGCTTGTTTTTTATTTTTTTTGACTCCAAATCTCATTTTTNAGATTTGAGCACACTGACAAAGAACAGAGAAGACGTCGGAGATCTTTGTGTGTGTCTTGAACCCAGATGTAGAAAAACCAAGACGTTGGAGAGGACGGAGAAGATGCTAGAGATCGTCGAAGTTCTTGAACCCAGATCATGTGTGTGTTTCGTTTGGATTTGCCCAAGTGGAGAGAGAAACTCTGACGACAGAGCAGCGATCTTCGTTGTTCTGGTCTTCATTGCACTGCACTCGTTGCACAGAGAGAGAGAGGAGATGGAGAAGGGCTTTTATACTTCAACGAAAAAGAATGCATTTTGCTGCTAAGGAAGTTTGATGGATGGACCTCATTAAAGAGGAGTGAACAGTATTTTGTGTTCCGTGTTTTCAAAATTTTCAGCCAAAAACTCTTAAAACCACACTGGCTTGTTTTTTATTTTTTTTGACTCCAAATCTCATTTTTTTTTTCAAAAATTTGAGAACAAAAATGCTAACCAAATGGGTTTTGAAAATTTTTAAGGTTTTGAGAACAAAAAACAGGTTTGAAGATTTAAACCAAACACAGCCTAAATCCTTCCATTGTTTCATTGCCCTTGGTTGATATCCATGGTTTGTATCCTATGTGGTATAATAATTGTTTTGCCCTAGCGTCTCTATAACATACCATCAGCTAGTTGAGTATCACTACCATCACCAATAGTCCCTCCACCACCACTCTTGTTATCCTCATCATTATCTCCACCATGATTACTAGCATAATCATCATCGTTACCACCACCACCACCACCATCATAAGTATCATCAACATTATCATCATCATCATCGTCATCAGAAGAAGAATCATTAAAACTGACAAATTTTTTTAGGTTTTTTATCCTTATTGGTTGGCTTTGTATCTTTTCCATGTCTTCTGGTAGCAGCATAGTTGCTAGATGTTGGAGCAGTATTAGTGTCATTTTCATCAACTGCATTTCGTCCACTTCCAGCTTCTTCAATGTCACAAATACCTTCATCTAATCAATTTAAATTATCAGGTGGTAAAACTGGTTCCTCCCCCTCTATTATCCACTCATCTAATATGTCTGTCCTCATCATTAAAAATGTAGTTCAAATCAATTGAATTATAAAAATCATCATTTTCACGCTGATACGTCAAATTTCTGAGTTGCAACCGCATTTCGTAGTGCACAAAACTTAGCTTATGTAGCTTCTTCATTGCTAATCAGTTGTGAAGTTTTGTACGGATCAATGATCATGTACTCTAACTTCTGTTATACCCTAATGAAGAACATTTTTGGCTTAAGAACTTGACTACAATTTTTTGTAGATGGGGAAATTTTTCACCATAATTGATCCACCATTCAACTACAAAAAAAAAACAAAATGTACAATATTAGTATTGTGATTGTGTCTAAGAAATGATGCTTTAATAAATACATATAGTTTAAATAATAAACTTAAAAGGGAAGCATGCATAATTAGTGAGTGCATTCCCAAACTTGCCATGGCTGTCAGTATATAATTTGATCTTCAATTTATTGTGTAATGTATTATGTATGCAACTAATACATATACATATTATAATAAAAATTATTAAAAATTGTTATACCTCATTCATTGCCCTTGCTTTCAAATTTGGTTTCAATCTTTTAATAACCTCTTTCAGACTAGATCTTACCTCAGGATGGTCAGAAAATTGATTAGAATACTGAAAAACTGGATTTAACAAATAAGCTGCAAAGATTTTGATAATTTAATGTAAGTGAGTTGGATACTATAATATTTTACAAGCTAATACACTGAAAATTTTGTATTTTTAAGTACTTTTACTTGTTGCATGCACGTGTCTATGTAGTTGTGTCTCCCATCTTTTGTCAATTACAGCCTAATATTTTCTCCAATTTTTGACTGAATGTTGTATGACTAGTTTAGCCCTGTCTATTGCCTCATAGACAATTGGTAAAGTCAATTTTTTTGTCTTGATCCGCTATCTTTTAAAACCCTAATAAGAGGCTCCATGACGGATTGAACTTTTTTAGCCTTCTTCCAAAATTTGTTAGTCAAAATAAGGTTCGAGTCCTTATCTCTTGTTGTTCTCCTCTTGTTGTCTTTGTTGAATGCCATTCATCAGTGGTGCACATTCTTTTCAAGTTCGATTCATGACGGATTAAACTTTCAATAGCGATGAATCCATGGGCAAATTGTGTTATACCTGACCTCAATAAATCTCTGTCTCTTGTATTTTGTTTCATTAAGTTCACTATTTTGAAACTGTTGTAGATAAGTGATGTGATCATCTTAGCATCAGCTTTGGTCTCCTTGATTGCTTTCATATGATCAATATCTTCTAGCATCAAATTGATATAATGGGCTGCCCAAGCAGATCAAAATAGATGTTTCTTTTTATCCATCAACATCTTACCGCCTGCTTTAAAGCTTGCCTCATTGTCGGTTACTATATGTATTATATTTTCTTTCCCAACTTCATCAAAACTTTATCCATAAGAAAGAAAATATAATCGGCAGTTTTTAAAATATTGGTAGTATCAACTGAAGTATGATAAAATCATACTATGGTCACAATAAATCATGATTGTGCGACTATACTGAGACCATTTTATCTTCATCGAGGATAAATGCACTTCAAGCACTTGAACCTTCTCCTCCAAATAAGAACTACCAATTTGATATCTTGTGGGGCCTTTTATTCTTAGGCCTGTATCTGCAATAGTGTCAATCATTGACTGATAGTAAGGCCCATTATCAGCTGCATTAAATGGTATTGTTTTGAAGAGAAAGAACTTCGAAATAGTTTTTCCTATTTTTTTCAGATTCTCACCTGAGAACATGCATTTTATTGACTTGGACGGGAATATGTACAGCTCAATGCCACTTATAGGCATGCTGACACCTTCTTTTATACTACAGCTACGTGGTAATCTTCGCTTGATTCCTGAGCGAGATGATTGTAATGGTCTAGCACCAAAAAAATAACCCTTAGTAGAATGACAGGTGCATTTGATACAGAGTGTCTACGACCATCTTCCTCCATCTAAGCCATTTGACGACTTTCCTTTATTGTCGGTTTTAATTGTCTTCTTTCAAAATCAACCTCTTCAATTTGATTCTCACTATCATTTAGGTTGTAAAGATCTNTAACCCTTAGTAGAATGACAGGTGCATTTGATACAGAGTGTCTACGACCATCTTCCGCCATCTAAGCCATTTGACGACTTTCCTTTATTGCCGGTTTTAATTGTCTTCTTTCAAAATCAACCTCTTCAATTTGATTCTCACTATCATTTAGGTTGTAAAGATCTTCATCTCACAATGATTGTATAACTCGTTTTTTTTCCTTCTTTACATCAGCCCTGTCCTTACTATAATCATTGAGATGTTGTCTCAAAAGTTGACACTTCTTTTGATCCACCTAGTCGGATACCTGTGCAATATGCTTCTTCATTCAAGTAATACCGCCATGTATTATTTTTTCACAATAATTTTATTTTGTAATTCTTCGACCACCACCAACGGGTATTGCGTGCCCCAACGGATATCGTATTGTTTAGGAGCAATTCTACAATGTATAAATTCAAAATAATTAAATAAGTAACATATTTTGATTGATTTAAAAATTCCAAAAATAATTAACATTTATGTTTTCAAAACATACAAAAGGTTTAGTAAAAATTTTCTATGAAGAACACTTGGAAACCATTCTTGGATTTAATACCGATTCTATTTTTACACTAATCTTCCTAAGTATATAAAATCAAGGGATTATCTTAGCTCTATAGGTTGTTACCTTGTCCTAAGTAATAATACCGATTCCATCTTCATCGTTGGATTTAATACCGATTCCATCTTCATCGTTGTAGCATCATGACTATGGGATAAGTTGAGATCAAAAAAGGACTCCACGAAATTAGCCAACTACAAAACATGATCTAACAAAACTTATGAGACAATTCTATTAATATTATACTTGAGTGTGTGTGCTCGTTTGCAGTTTTTATCCTATCTATTGCGTGAGGTACTACTTTTTTAGAATAGTGATTGGTGGATCAGCATGTTAGGAGTGTTCTTTTCTTAAACATGGCCATGCCCATGTACAGGCATTTTCAGCCATCTTTCCATATTTAAAAGTTCATAATATATATATTATATAAAATGTTATGTATATATATATATATATATATATTGTATGTATAATTCTTTATGTATATATAATATACATAAAAAAAGAATAATTCCTACAAGTATTTTGAAAAAACTACACAGTCATTAAGTACGACTGATGAATTAAAATAATAAATCAAATTAAAATAATAAACTCTCAAATGTGCATTTTATGCTTATAGCAAGTTTAAAGCAATTGATAATATTAGGAACATCATTGTTATCTATGATTGAACCAATAGAAAGAATTGATTCCAAGTAATTCTGACTACTAAAAATCAACTCCTTTTTGGACGGTCATCTCTTTTAGAGTAAAATTAAAAGAACTTGAAAATAAAATAGTTAAAAGAAGGAGAAAAATATATAAAAATAATTATAAGGATTATAAAAAAGATGATGCAAAAAGAACTAAAAAATTTAAAACAAAAAATAAAAAATTTATTAAATGTTTTAAATGCGGGAAAATCGAACACTATGCTAGTAAGTGTTTAACTAAACAAAAGAAAATGAGTTAATTCGGATGAAGATCTTAAAGATAAAATATTAAAATTAGTAATTAATTCAGAATCTAAAGAAGAATCAGAAAGTTCACCTTCTTCTGAAGAATTATGTAATATAGATGATATAAGTCAATCATCAGACGATGATGTATTAGAAAAGGATAAAGCTTGCTCATCACAATGTCAAGCAAAAACTAATTATTATAAGGCTATATTAGACATGAATGCATTAAGTATAAACACTTCAACTAAATCACAATAACTAATCTTTGATCTTATAGATCAAATTCAAGATACTATATCTAAAAGGAAAGCTCTCTCTCTCTCTCTATATATATATATATATATGTATGTATACTCCTGTATTATCTTGAATTGAGATTGTTACTTCAATATTTGGAAGTTTAAACCTCATTACTCTATATCATTGAAGACAACATGTNATATATATATGTATGTATACTCCTGTA